TTTAATAACGCCGGCTGTTCAATACGCAGTTTTACCATCGCAATGTCAATTTCTTGGCAATATTTGTCAGCATTTATAGTTTCACCGTTTTTGAAAAAAGAAAAATGCACAATACCCTTGGCAGACCACCATACAGATACCATAACTTTACGTGGATGAAGGCTCGGTTTCGGCATGTGTTTTGGAGCTTGATCAGCATCTAACCATTGGGCAGAACGTCGACGATTATCATAAAGAACCCACTTTTCATCACAGGTTACTATTCGATTCAATATTCCTTCACTATTGTGCCGGGAAAGCAAAGATGAGTTGATTTCCATACGGCGAAGCTTGTCTCTCTCAGTCGCTTCATATGGTACCCATTTGTCAAGCTCTTTCACTTTCCCCATGGTCTTTAAGTGTCGGGAAACAATAGAATAGTGAACGTTGATACTGTGTGCAATATCTCGAACTGATAAACGCGAGTCTGCTTCAACCATGTCTTTCAAAACATTGTCATCAATCACTGATGGTGCATGGCCGCGAGGCAAATTATCGAGAATTGTATCACCAGACCGAAACTTTTCAAATGCCTAATGGTTCGATCACTTGCAGAACCTTCCCCAAAAGCAGTGTTTATGTTTCGCGTTGCCTCGGCCGCACTATGACCAAGTTTGTATTCGTACAAGAATATTATCCACATTTCCTTACTTTCCATGTCGAAGAGACAGCGATTTTCAACGATATAAACAATGTGATAAAAGTAAGGTTATGCGTGCGAATTTACGTGTGGAGCATATACTTTTCAAATATCACGCATTCAACGACAGCTGCATGAAAAGGGCTGAACTACTCGACCGGGAAATTTGAATTTTGAAAAATGGCCATTTCATTTGCAACAAGTTTCTAGTGGAAACGGAATTTTGTTCAGACCGCGAGGATTTCGAGATCGAATCAGTATCATCGAATGCGCAAGACCGTCCGGATCACGTTGTTCGACATGTCGACATAAATGCTTCAAGACTCTCGTTCTTCTCTTTTGTTCCTTTCTAGATCTTCCTAAGAGTCCACCTTCCATCTTTTACTCCCCGACAACCTTGAGTCCCATAGACGACCATAGACTATAACCTCTCTAATATATAATAATAATATGTTTATATGCTCATACCTAACGAACACGTTCCCACGATTTCTAGGTGGTGTGAGAAATCACGCCATATACCGACAAAGGGATTCTCGTAGTTCAATAGTTTTAAGAAAAGAAAATCACCTGATGCCGGGTGGGCCTAAAGTTCGCGAGTCATGAAATAGATATTCCTCGTTTCAAAAGGTTTCGAAAGGAAGAATTTAGAAAACATTTAGCGTGGTTGACGAATTCAATGGGCAAATAAATCGCGAATACGGAGAGATAGGTAACGACACTCTCGGTAGAACAAATCCGCCGCCGCCAGATCTAAGATCCTGAACCAACAACCCTATCTGCCAGATACAAGCCCTTATCCGCAGTCTGTACCTAGCGATCCTATACTTAAAACATTTTATTACTTTATTACGCTCACACGATCTCGACTTTCCTCATATCCCCCTAACTGTTACTCCGCGGATCCTACGGTACATCACTGGAGAGTGTATACCCTCTCTGCTCATATCCTCAACCAACGAAAAAACTTAGAAATACGTATTCACCTTCCACTCACTACTCTAGAAACGAGGAAAACCTATCCCAAAAACAATACTACCCTCTTTTATCAACTCCAAGACTAAGAAAGGAGTAGACTATTACTTATTCCTCTTCTACCTCCTAACTCTGTATTTTCAAAGGCCAAACATTCCCCGAATCCTTCGATTTCCTCTAATCAAAATAAAAAATCCAAAACTGGAAACTCCACCCTATCTCATCTCCACATCCTTCTCAGCACCTTATAAATACCCTCGCGCTCTGTGCCTCTTCCTCTTCTTCTTTTGGTCTGCTTGACGCCATCATCACGCTTGCAAATACCCTTCACGCCATCCCAACGCTGCACAAGTTCAGACCCAGAGACAAGGGCTGTCTCTATTTGGCATCCGAACCAGGAGTTAAGGCCGTCTCCAGCTAACAAACCATCTTTTTCAACTTCGGTACAACATACTCCATAAAATATTAAGTTCCTTTTATTTTTTTCCTCATCCATTGTTTCTTTCCTACAGTTCGCCACCTTTTTTTGTTCCCAACATTATTCGTGCTCGGAGCTCTTGTTTTCTAGTGGAAACGGAATTTTGTTCAGACCGCGAGGATTTCGAGATCGAATCAGTATCATCGAATGCGCAAGACCGTCCGGATCACGTTGTTCGACATGTCGACATAAATGCTTCAAGACTCTCGTTCTTCTCTTTTGTTCCTTTCTAGATCTTCCTAAGAGTCCACCTTCCATCTTTTACTCCCCGACAACCTTGAGTCCCATAGACGACCATAGACTATAACCTCTCTTCCTCTCTTCAGCCCTTCGCGGATAGCTTTTCCTCCTTACCTCCCCTTCACAGTATCACCGCCACGACCCAGTATCCGGAGTTTCCACGCGGTCTTGCTCCGCGGCCTTATCTCAATCTATTCTTTCTCTTCCAAATCATCTTCACCGCGAACTTCACCTTCGCCTCATGTTTTCTCGTCACTGGATCTCTCCACATCGGAACACGCAAGGCATTCTTTAGGATAACCGAGGTTCAAAACACGCAATTGATTTTTCTATATACAGGGTGTATCTAAGAGTATGTTACAAATTTTAAGGGCGTATTTTAGGGGTCAAAATAAGAAAAAAGTTCATTTAAACATGAGTCCAAAAATGCTTTCCCTTCGAGTTATAGCCTTCTACAGCGTACGATAAATTGCCCATGCGGCCGGTGTTCTAAACATTCTCCATTTCTCTTTCTCTTCCTCCGTTTTTTGGAAACAATTGGTCTGAGAAAGAATTTTAGAAAGAATAGCTTTTTGAACGTTCTTTTCTCCTGAATCAAATTGTTTCATTCATTTTTCAATACGATGAAGAATGAAAGAATATAGCCATTTGAATATAACCAATTGGCACCCACCTCCATAACTCCTCTTTAAAATCGGACCAAATTGTCAAAACCATATAAAAATGAAAGTCACTATTAATTATTACGCTGTGCAACATTTCGACGATCTTCTTCCCCCCAACTTTAGCAGGCTATAACTCGAAGGGAAAGAATTTTTGGATTCATGTTTATAGAAACTTTTTTTCTTATTTTGACCGTTAGAATACGCCCTTAAAATCAGTAACATACTTTTAGTAATGTATATACATACTGTATATACAGGGTGTCCCATTTTAATGTCCCACTTCAAATAACTCTTCAGTATTGAAGTTTCAAGGAAAATGATCTGAATAAAAGTTGTAGGGATTTAAATGAACTACCTTATGATGACCTTGATTTTTATCTTGACCTCTATTTTCAAGATCATTTGAACGTGAACTTGCGTTTTTCAAATGGAAACCCTTATTTTTTATTACACTGCTTTTGCTACTAGTTAATTTGAGCAACTTTTGTCTAAAACATTTTTTTATTTGTCTAATATTTTTTAAGATATTTGAGGAAAATTGATAACTTTTTAATATTTAACTTACGATATCTCGCTAATTATTTGTCGGAAGAAAAGTGGTATTAGACTTTCTTGCTTTATTTAGTCTCAAGAATATATTGTTACATTAACGCCCTGATTTTTGTTAATTTGATGATTTTCAAATTTCCAAAAATCAGTAAGTATAATCGATATTGTATATTGTGTTTATTTACCATGGTTTAAAGCGATCAGGTATTATTATTATCCCCGCTTATTATTATCTATTCGCGCGCTTTTGTCTAAACGCTTAACGCGGCCGAACATCGCTACGGATATTATGTACGGGGTTTAGTTACCGCAATTCAGATTAAGCAAGAGTCGCAATTCGGATTCTTTACGAGGGTGGTCCTTTCTAGCATCCGAGCGCCGCGTAAACTTCGTTCAGCAGTCAACCACACAAACTCCATATCAGGTCTGTAAATATGAAACCGGAATTTGCCCATAGATGCCCCTAGCTGTCAATGTAGTTTAGGGTTTTTTGATGTCCTCTTGCTCTCTCGACGATTGCAAGTGGAGGGTAGGTCCTAAATCAACCTAGGCGTGTTCTTTTCCTTTGTAATCTTTGTAATCTTTATTGCGCATGTGCCTGCCAGTCGCAGAGCACGTGAATCACAGATGTGGCGTATGCGCCTCGAAGGTACAAAAGTCGTTGCTCTCGCACGCATACAGGTCACAGCGGGACTTGTATATGTGTAGACAGACAAGGGCCGATGCACCTGCCTGCTTCCTCTCGCACACACGCGTCTGCGTGTCGGAATCGCAGTATCACACGAGAAACAGGCGAAACAATCGAAGCTAAGAACTAGCGACTGTGTTCAATGTGCTCTGTGAGCGCTTTCAACGGTTACTACTACCGTTGCTCTTTTTCCCCGCACGAGTGAGACTTGCGCGCGCTCTATAGCGCCGCACGGAAAACGGATGCGTGCGCCTTGGGGAACTCAAAGTCCCCACAGGTACTCCCCCCCTCAGTACCTCTCTAGGCAGAGAGGAACGAAACTTTTTCTTTTCGCGTATGTTTTAATTTGTGGCGCGGACAAAGTGGACGGACGCGGATCATTGGTTTTCAGCTGTTCGGAGCCGTTATCCTCCAGTACAGTGAACGCGGGTTTTAGCGACTCTGTTGACAAAGTTTTTTCCTCACCATTGATGTCCACGAGGAATACGCGGTCTGTTATGCGCCTGATTACTGGATGAGGACCCGAATACGGCGGATCGAGCGGCCGGCGAACAGAGTTAATGCGACGGAAGACGTGCGAACAAGTGTATAAATCTCGGAAAACGAACGGTTTCGCGTTTGTGTGATGAACTGTTGCAGTTGGACGGATCTTACGAATATATGCGCGGAATTTTTCTAAAAATATAAATGGATCAGCCGGTGGATCCTCATGAACAAAAAATTCACCCGGTAACCGTAGTGTTGTGCCGAAAGAAGCTTTGCTGGAGACGCTTGCGGATCCTCCTTCATGCATGCTCTTAGGCCAAGAAGGACGGTTGGTAAGATGTCTGGCCACGGTGTTGGTGCGTGGCATCTCAGCGCTGCCTTCAGGGTGCGATTCCAGCATTCGATGAGTCCGTTCGCTTGAGGATGATACGGCGTAGTGCGAATCCGAGGTGCGCCAATCAATCGCGCTAACGACTGGAAGAGTGCAGATTCAAACTGCGTTCCCTGATCTGTGGTGATCGTCAGTGGAGTTCCGAAGTTGCATATCCAGTGATTGAAGAGAGCGGATGTTACAGTGTCTGCTTCAATGTTCGGTAGTGGAAGTGCAACTGGCCATCTGGAAAAACGATCTATGATTGTGAGGCAATAGCGGTTACCTCGTACAGGCGGTAGCTCTATCAGGTCCAAATGGATGTGATTGAATCGGTTGTCCGCTGCTTCGATATTCAGGCTGTGGTTTGTTGTGTCTGCTGACTTTTGGTCGCTGGCACGGTAAACACTCGCGTGCCCAGCGAGAAACATCTTGGTTGATGCCTGGCCAGATGAGTTTCTGTTTGATGCACTTCAGCGTTGAGCGAGCGCTCGGATGAGCCGGACCATGGATGATGTCGAATGCCTTGCGTCGAAGTGGTTGTGGTAGGTACGGTCGTACGATGCCCATCGATACATCACACCAGATGTCTTCTTCCTCGATCCGAAGGTTCGGCTCGAGCGACGTGGATCTTACGATGTCTGCGAGTTCTGGATCTGCTTCTTGCGCGTTTGCAATGATTTTCGCTGAGAGCGTGCTTGGCATCTCAATTGCGCTGATCCTGGAGAGCGTGTCTGTAACCACGTTGTTTTCGCCTCTCACATGGACTATGTCCGTGGTGAACTGCGAGATGTAGTCCAGTTATCTCAGCTGGCGTGGCGAGCTCTTTTCTGCCTTCCTGCTAAAAGTATATGTTAGCGGTCGGTGGTCTATCCGTACCTGGAATACTCTTCCTTCAAGTATGTGCTTGAAGAATTTGACGGCAGCGAACACAGCAAGAAGCTCTCGGTCATATGTGGAGTACTTCTGCTCGGTCGGAGAGAGTTTCCGTGAGAAGAATCCAAGCAGCTGCCAGTGTCCGTCTATCTGCTGCTCGAGTGACGCGCCTATAGCGGAGTCAATAGCATCGGTCGTCAGTGTGAGAGGTGCATCCGGAGCGAGGAAGGCTGAGTGTGTGGCAGCTGTCAATGCGTCCTTGCATTTCTGGAACGCAGCCTCTGTCTCCGTTGTCCAGTGAATCTCTCGCTTATCCCTCTTCTTCGCATCCTTCAGGTGTCTAGTTAGCGGAGCTTGCTGTTGAGCGGTATTCGGCAATACTCGACGGTAATAGTTTACCATCCCCAAGAAGCGGCGTAGATCTGTGATGGTCTTGGGTTTTGGGAACTGTTGAATGGCTGTTACCCCGTCGAGTGGTGGTTTAAGTCCAGTCTGTGAGACGGTGTAGCCGAGATAACGCACAGAATCCTGTCCAAAGAAGAATTTGGTCGCATGGACTGGAAAGTTGTTCTCCTGGAGCACTCTGAGAACGGCATCGAGATGTTGAAGATGTTCTTCATGACTGTCTGAGAAGACGATGATGTCATCCACGTAGCATGCAGCAAAGTTGATCCCGCGCAGTATATTATTCATATGCCGTTGGAACGTTTGCCTGGCATTTCGGAGTCCAGGCGGCATGCCTAAGAATTCAAACAGGCCGAAAGGTGCCGTGACAGCGGTTTTGGGGGCGTCCTCCGGTGCAACAGGAATTTGATGATACGCTCGGATTAGGTCTAGCGTGGAAAAGACCTTTTTCTCGTGCAACTGTTGCAGGATGTCCTCTATTCGTGGAATCGGATATCTGTCTGGAACAGTTTGAGAATTCAGACGCCGATAATCACCTGTTGTGCGCTAGCCACCTTGGTTTTTCTTCACCATTGTATCGGACTCGCCCATTAACTGCGTGAAGGTTGCACGACCCCGAGATGCAAGAGAAGGTTGAAGTCTGCCTTGGCGGCTGCCAATTTGTCACCTAGAAGTCGTCGTGGACGCTCAAACACTGGAGGTCCTGTGGTTTCTATGTGATGTGCGATCCCGTCAAAGCAGATCGCTGAAGGAGTTGGCCTTGGTGCGAAGACTGCAGCGTGCGAGTCCAGTAGTGTGGCATATGCCTCTCGGTGTGGTGAGTTCGGAAGATTGTGCTGGCTGGTTGCGGAGACACTAAAAATGGTTGTTTCACATACCTGACCCTGTGTGGCAAGGCTGGTTTTTGAATCCACAAGGCCTTGTCGAGAAAGATCAATGATTAGACCGTAGTGTGAGAGAAAATCAGCTCCGATGATCGCTGAGTTCACATCAGCAATGATGAACGACCATTTTAATGCGCGGCGAAGTCCGAGTTCGAGGGTGAGCGGCTGCTGACCAAATGTGCAGATAGCTGATGAATTGGCGGCGAATAGTTGTAGCTCGGTAGGAGTGAGCTTCCTGTGCACGCACTTCCGAGGAATCAGCGAAACAACGGATCCAGAATCGACCAAGAAACTAATGTTCGTGGTCCTGTCAAAAACCTGGAGTCTTTTCTCATTAGGCGCTGCTTGCTGTCGCCGATTGCCTATGTCGACGGCAGCGACGTCAGTTTCCCGTGCCATTTGCATTGGTAGCTTGGAGTGTAAAGCTGCACGGCTGCTGGCATCGTCTCGCAGCAGCACCGAAGCGGCGGTGGTAATAGCACCACTGACTGGTTAGTTGCTGAGTATGGCTGTTACGAGAGCGCGACCTGGAACGTGTACGTTGACGCTGGGTGAGCTGTCCTTGGTGGACAACAGCAGGCAGCAGGCGCTCAAGTAGAGTCGTCAGGTGTGCGACGGACTGTTGCATGGTGGTTACTGCTTCTCCTAACCGCTGAATGGTTTGAGTGTCGGCAGCTCCCAGTCTACCTGGTGACGGTGAATGGTTCTTGCAGCAACTGCAAGAACTTGAGATGTAGAAGAGTCTTCCATGAGCTCGTCTGCAACTGTTGAGAGGTCCTCTAAGCAGGTTGTCCGAAGGATCTTGAGGACTCGCTGTCCCGGGTGGTAGAAGTGCTAGCCAGCGCACTCGCAGGATGTCCTGTGACATTCGGTCGCCTGCAAGCGTCCTCATGTGACGGAGGAGTTGCGAGGGCTTGCGGTTGCCAAGCTCCAAGTCTGTGAGTAGACGGTGGAGCTGCTTGTCTGCAGAGTCTGCGAAACGTGCAAGTAACTGCGTTTTCAAAGTGACATACTTGTCAATGACAGGTGGTGATGCCAGGATGTCCGCTATTTCCTGAATTGCTTCAAAGTCGAGTGCACCGATGACGAGGTGATACCTGCCGTCATCAGAGCGGATACGATGTATCTGAAATAGTGATTCTATTTGCGCGAACCACAGAGCTGGCTGTTGTTTCCAAAACGGTGGAATTTTACACGCTGTGATAGACTCGATGACATTGTCACTGAACGGAGGCCCCATGTCAATGAGCAGCTCCAATTGGGATGCACTCCCATGAGGTAGTTCGATGTGGCTTGGCCCTGCCGGTGTGACGGGTGGCTGCTCCAGTCCCTTGGACGGAGGGGTGTGATGTAGCGACATGTTGTCTCTGTTCGGATTCACGGAGTGAATACGATTGTACGCAGTTTTTTTCTCGAGGTACTGTTAAAAATTGCGTGTGCGGTTGTCGCGTTGCAAACAGGCGCGAAAAAGTGTGTAGCATTTGATCAGAATTTTTTACTGTTGCGGAACTGCACGTGTCACACTCACGATGACTGCATGCGCAGAGCAGAGTCTCAGCCAATCAGAGTCCGTCACGCATGCGCCGATGATCACCACGCGCACAGCACCGATTCTCCGACCAATCAGAGTTTGTCACGCATACGCCGATAGTCACTACGCGCATAGCACCGAGTCTCCGACCAATCAGAGTTTGTCACGCATGCGCTGATAGTCGCTACGCGCACAGCACCGAGTCTTCAACCACTCACAGCTCGATTCTGCCCTTCATCGAAGCGAAGCTGTCCGATGGTGGCGGAATCACCCGATGCGAACAAATGTTTCTAATTTTTGGGAAGATTGAATTTTTACCGGTCGGCAAGGTGACCTCAGCCAGAAGGTCCGTTGGAATAGGCACAATGTCTCTCTCTTCTTCCGTTGCACTGCGAATCTTGTCCGGTTACCAATTTAGGTGTTGGGGTCACCAATTTAGGGGGGTCACCAATTTTTGCTCCTCTTGCTCTCTCGTCGATTGTAAGTGGAGGGTAGGTTCCTAAATCAACCTAGGCGTGTTCTCTTCCTTTGTAATCTTTGTAATCTTTATTGCGCATGTGCCTGCCAGTCACAGAGCACGTGAATCACAGATGTGGCGTATGCGCCTCGAAGGTACAAAAGTCGTTGCTCTCGCACGCATACAGGTCACAGCGGGACTTGTATATGTGTAGACAGACAGGGGCCGATGCACCTGCCTGCTTCCTCTCGTACACACGCGTCTGCGCGTCGGAATCGCAGTATCACACGAGAAACAGACAAAACAATCGAAGCTAAGAACTAGCGACTGTGTTCAATGTGCTCTGTGAGCGCTTTCAACGGTTACTACTACCGTTGCTCTTTTTCCCCGCACGAGTGAGACTTGCGCGCGCTCTATAGCGCCGCACGGAAAACGGATGCGTGCGCCTTGGGGAACTCAAAGTCCCCATAGTAGTTACCGTCAAACCGCGTCATAGGCGCCATTTCCATTTGTTGACATCTGACAAAGATTTTCAACTCACAACAATATAAGTTTCATACAACAGCATAGTATGTAATAGTGTTGAACATGTCGAATTTTATGCCTGGAAGTTACGATTTGCGGACAGCATTGATTTTCTGTTACCATTTGAAGAAAACTGCTACAGAATCGCATCGAATGCTTGTCGAAGCTTACGGTGAGCATGCTGTGGGTAAATCACAGTGCTTCGAGTGATTTAAGAAATTCCAACCTGGCGATTTTGACGTGAGAAACGAAGAATATGGTAGACCACCGAAAAAGTTTGAAGACAGCGAATTACAAGCATTATTGGATGAGGATGACGCTCAAACGCAACAACTCGCGGAACAATTAAATGTGACACGAGGAGCCGTCTCCATACGTTTGAAAGCCATGGGAAAGATCCAGAAGATAGGAAAATGGGTTCCACATGAACTGAATGAAAGACAGCAGGAAAACTGAAAAACCACTTGCGAAATGCTGCTCGCCAGATACAAAAGAAAGTCATTTCTTCATCGAATTGTGACTGGCGATGAAAAGTGAATATACTTTGAGAATCCTAAGCGTAAAAGATCATAGGTCACTCCAGGCGAACCATCGACATCGACTGCAAGGCCAAATCGCTATGGACGGAAGATAGTGCGCTATTTGGTGGGATCAGAAGGATGTGATCTATTGCTGCGCCCTTGCGCGAGAAAAATAACACGGAATTAACAAAACGAAAGAAGCTTTATTTTAATTCGTCCGTTCGTCTTGACAAGACTAGAGCGACTTTCTCTCATCTCTTCTTCTTTACTTTATTTATTTAACAATCTCCTTGACAACAACAGCTGTCAAACAATCTCTACTCGATTCCTTTGCAGTCCACTCCCAGGAGCGTGGGGATAACATGTTCCCCAAAGACACGGGCGCAGCACTATTATGAGCTGCTAAAACCTTTTTTTTTTTTTTTTTTACGAGGAGGAAATCCATCATGGATACCCTGACCCTCGAGGAAGGGTCAGGGTTATGCCGGACTCCTACCAGCTAAAACCTCCCCAGGTGGCGCTGCGAAGGGACTGGCTTCGGGACCCCGGAGCCACGTGATTGCTTATCGAGGCCCCGAGTCCAGGCTTACTTCTGTCCCTGAGGGGTAGGGTGGGGGAGGGGGGAAGCTAACCCAAAGGTTCGCTTCGACCACCGCTCCCCAGGGGAGGGGGGAAGCCCGAGGGCTCGCTTCGACCACCGCTCCCCTTTCCCGCCCCTCATGCCTCGTCTCTTCGATCAGGAAGGGGGAAGCCGGCCGAAGCCCGCTTCAACCACCGTTCCTGACCAGACGAGGCGCCGCTAATACATGTTGTGCGGACGGCTGATCCACCTTCTCAGCCGGCCGCCCTACGTTGGAGGGCTGGTTGGGGCACCGGGAGTCCCCGCCCGGTGCCCCATCCTCCTGCCCGGCGGTTACGGGGGGAAAAGGTCCCCTAGCCGCTGGGCACTCCCACCTCCGCAGAGGAATGAGAGGGAGGGTCCTAATGACCCCCCCTTCCTTCATATCCTTTATTTTGGACCTTTTAATAAGGGGGGAGAGAGGTGTTATCTCCAGTAAGAAGAACCTTACTGGCATCCTCCTGTTCCCCCTTGCTGTCATCCGACTCCCACTCTGGAAGCCGGAGGAGCGCGGTTGGGGAGTCGGGGCCTGAGTCCCGGTCTCCTCGCACTCCTTTCGTCTGTCGGAGCTACTGTGGAGGAGGTTGGGGGCCGATGCAACCGCTGTTGTTGTTGCATTTCCCCTTCCTCCTCCCGCAGCTCTTCTTCTTGTACTTGCTCTGTATGAGGCATCTTTTCGCCTTGGGGCCCTTCCCATTTGCGATGGAGGGGGAGCAGGAAGGGGAGGGGGTGGAGGCGGTGGTGGACCCATCATCCTCCTTAGTGCATCCTCATCTGACGAGGATGCAACCCCTCCCTGCTTCTGCTCTTCCCCCCTCTCCATAGGCGGTGTCTCTCCCGCCTTCTCCTTTTCCTCCCCTTTCCTTCTGCCCTTCTTCGCCGCTCTTCTGCCTCCTCCTTCTGCGTCATGATCGATTCGCAGAAGGAGGAGAATGCATCCCATTTTTTCTCGCTTTCGAGAATCTTCTCGATTATGGTCGGGAGTGACAGGTCTCGACCAACTACCCGGATCATGACTCCGCGCTCAACGCCCCAGGCGGGACAGTCCTGGAGCGTATGTTGCGCGGAATCATGATCGTGTCCGCAATGGTGGCAGGACGTCGTGCGCTCTTTTCCTATACGGCACAGGTACTCACCAAAGCAGCCATGCCCGGTGAGCACCTGTGCCATTCTGAACGTCAGAGTCCCGTGGGCCCTCCCTACCCACTCCGGTAGGAAGGGCCGGACGGCCTCGACAGTCCTCCTCCCGTACCTGGCATTAGCCAGTAATCTTACCCATCTCTGGAGGAAGACCTGTCGAGCCTGGTGCTTCATGTTTCTCACGGCCCTGGCGAACAGCTCTCCAGCCCCGTTCTTAGGAGCTCACGCTTCCCGCCGTATGTGTCTATACGACAGGGCCATAAGCTCCAGGGAGGGCATGCTCGCCAGAACCGTCGCCGCCACGCGAGATACAGTGCGGTAGCATCTAGCCACCCTGACCGCCAGCACCCTCTGTACTTTGCGCATTTGCGCGCGCATAGGGCGACTGGCGGCCAGGGTTTCCGCCCATACCGGTGCTCCGTAGAGCGCCACCGAATTTAGGACTCCTGCGTGGAGGCGACGAGCCTTCCCGTCTGGCCCCCCGACGTTGGGCATAAGTCAGCCCAGCCTGGCAGATATTACCCTTAGGCGGGGGACCAGCCTGTTGAAGTGTTCTCTGAAACACCAGGTGCCGTCCAATATGAGGCCCAGATACTTCATCTGGGCTTCTAACGGGACCCTGACTGTCCCTATCCTCACCTGGGCCTGGGGCGGCTTCCATCTCTTGGGGCGAAAGAAAATAGCTTCAGTTTTTCTTTCAGCCACCACCAAGCCCAGGCTGCGGATGGAGCGCACGACTCCTGCCACCGCCAGGTTTGCCGTGTGTACAGCATCCCCCCCAGTCGTAGGCTAAGATGAGCGTATCATCTGCATAGCATATAATGCTGCAGCCGGGGGCGAGGACTGTTCGGAGGACTGAGTTATAACCGAGGTTCCACAGTAGCGGGCCCAGTACCGAGCCCTGTGGAACCACGCAACTCATTCCCCTCTCGCGCACCGCGTCATCGGCGTCCATCCAAGTCAGACGCCGACCCCGGAAGTAGTCCTCAACAACGGCCGTGAGGTAGGGTGGGAAGCGGAAATGGTTCCGCATTGCCTCCACCACCCTACCCCAGGGCAGGGTGTTAAACGCGTTCGCTATATCGAGCGGTATAGCAACCGCCACCCTGCCCTCCGTCACGATGGCCTCCGAGAGGGACCTGAGATGCAGAATTGCATCTATGGTTGACCTTCCTTCTCGGAAGCCATATTGGCCGTCGCTAAGATCAGGACCTTCCTGGGACATATGCCTCTGGAGGCGGGCAGCTATAACTCGCTCAAAGAGCTTGCCCGCCTCATCCAGGAGGCATATGGGCCGGTACGCGGAGGGGGAGTCCTCCGGTTTGCTCTCTTTTTGGAGGAGGACCACATTGGCCCTCCCCCAGACTGGGGGGAACCTTCTCTCCTTGAAGGCGCGCGTGAACAGGTCTGCGAACTTCCCATTCATATACCCTGAGGCCAGGGTGAGTACGCGGCCGGGGATGCCATCCGGTCCTGGAGCTTTCCGGCTCTTGACCTTCTTGACAGCCCCGGCCACCTCCTCCTCTGTGACCCGCGGTACCTCCCCTTGGTGTTCGGGGGATGGGAAACTGTACGGGATGATGGGGTTATTTTCTCTCTTCGGGAAGAGAGTCCCCATCACCCGTTCCAGGAACCGGGAGTCAAGCGTCACCGTCAGAGGGGGCGTCCATGGTCTCAGCTTTTGCATTACTATTCTATATGGACGCTCCCACGGATCCGCATCTAATGAGAGGAAGAGATCATCCCACCCTCTTCCTCTGGCCGCCCCTATGGCTTCTCTAAACTCTATCGCTGCCTTGTTGAACTCCTTCCGGGCGGTCAGAGTGGCCTCAGGGTCTTTTGATTTTGATTTCGCTTTTCCCTGTTCCGCGCCCTTCTAAACTCCCGTCTGAGGGGGACCGACCTGCACCTCAGCGCAGCTATATGTTCGGTCCACCACCAGGCGGTCCGTTTTGGGCAGGACTTGACTCTAGGGATGGAGGCATCGCACGCTAGTGCGAGTATACACCTCCATATTACCTCCATGACCTCAGAGTCAAGGTCCTGCCCTTCTCTCCGTCGTGGCCAGGTGGAGCCCTCCAGGGAGATTTCCAGATTCTCCCTGTCGAGCTGGGCCAATGACCATCTACCAGGTCGGGGTTCCTTCTTTTGGTCAGGCCGCAGGCCATTGGGGGTGACGGACAGCTCCATCTCTATCAAGAAATGATCCGATAGAGCTTCTAATTCGTCCGCCACCCTCCAGGTCCGCACTCTCCTCAGGGCCGCGGGGGTTGCCCATGATAAGTCAATTATTGACTCCCCCGCGACCCTACAAATGTGGGTTTATTCCCTTCATTGAGGATATGCAGACCTAGGCCCGCAGCCCAATCCACAGTTACCTCCCCCCCGCCTGTCATCGCGCCGGGAACCCCATAGTTCTGATTTCGCGTTGAAGTCTCCGGCCACGATAACAGGACCTGGGAGATGTCTTTGAATGGCATCTCCCATTTCTTGGAGCCTGGACCTATACCCAATTAGGTCCAGGCTCTTTGTTGGGGGGAGGTATACCCCGACCACGGTGATCACCCCCCACTTGGTCACGACATATCCCCTTCCACAACCCACAAAGGTTGCGGGGGGGTCGCTCGCTCTCCATACTATAGCGACAGAGCCCAAGTCGTCCCCAAACCATTTTGGGTGGTTTCTGGGGACACGGTAGAGCTCTGCCGCTATACCTAGTCCTGCACCGCGCTCCGCCATAGTATGCTCAAACAAGGGTTGAGCTTGGCGGGCGCGGTGCAGGTTTCCTTGTAAGAGCCTAGTTGACATTTTTGTCAACTGGGCTAATTATCACCTTCCCTCCTGGTAGGTCTCCTTCGTCACTGCCTTCGCCTTCTACCGGGTGAGGGCGTTTTTCCCCTCATTTTCCATCTACTTCCATATTTTCTGTCTCCAACGGATCTGGAGGTGGAGGGATGGTCCTTATTCTCTGAGGGAGAAGGGAGGGTTGCGGAGGTTGTGTGGGTTGTGATTCCCGATCCCCACTCTCCTCCAACTGCTTCTCCCCTTCCTCTTCATTTCCCCCTTCTTTCCCCTCGGTAATGGCGGGAGAGTCTTGCGGTGCTGGTGCGAGTACCGTACCCCCTTCTACCGCCCTTCTTTGGGTATTCCCCTTCCTTTTGGGGGGACGACAAGATGCTCCCCCCATCCTATGGTCCGATTGGACTCCTGCCTCTGTGCATATTTGACACCTGGCTTTTGCCTCGCAATCTCGAACCAGGTGCCCGGGTTCGCCACACCTATAGCAATTTTGCCTGCGGTCAACATTATTTGTGCAATTTTGTTGTGTGTACCCCCTTTCGAGGCACTTGAAGCACTGTAGGGGTCTGTCCTGCAGCATCTCCGCTTTTACTTGCGTCCATCCTATTATAATTGTTTCCTTCCCTGCAATCTTCTTGGCCGCTAGCAATGGACATTGGATCCATATTGTCCTATATCCATTTTGAGCTATCCTTATTTTTCCAGTTTTGACATCACTGGTCTCGCATCCCCCTATTCTCGCTACTCCTTCCGCAACTTCCCTTTCAGAGGTCGAGATCTCCAGTCCTCTCAAGCGAAGCTCTCCCATTTTTTGGGGTCTGCTTACCTTTGCCCTGTCAGTTAGGACCTCTCTTTATTTGTCTGCCAGAATGTCAGCTTGCCTCCCTCTTTCTTCCCCTGGGATCTCCAGGACTAGCGCTCCAGTCGCGCCAATCCTGGTCCTCATTTTTTCGATCCCGATGTTTGTCAGGTCGATTTTACTTTTAGCTTCAGCGAGCAGTTCCTTGTATCGGCTCTTGTCCGCTGTTATTGTGGCAGCTGCAGTGTTAGGAACTTTTCGCTTTGCTTGCTTCCTTTCCTTCATTCCCTTATTTCCTTCCTTTACAATCCTTTCCGTCTCCTGCCTTTTTTGGTCCTTTTTGTCTTCCTTTTTTTCTTTTCTTCCCAGTACCTTGGTCCATGGAACCTCGTTCTCAGGTGTGGATGTTCCTACTTTGTTCTCCGGCATCAGGTTCTTCGTTCTTTGAGATGCTACGGGGGTTCCCCTTTCCCTTCCCGTATTGTTGCTATCTCCTTTATTGCCATTCCTTCCTGCCCCTTGATTGGGAGTTCCTCTTTGTCTCTCCTTTTTCCCTTCCTTCTTCTTTTCACCAGTCCTTTGTACTGTCCATTCGTTCAGAACTTTCAATACCATATTGGTGATCTTTCCTTTCAATCCTTCCTCTTCCTTTTTCCCAATTTCCTCCGTCCTTTCCATCCTCACTTTGTTGTTAAATGGGACGTTCTCCCTTATCTTGGGGCCAACATTTCGTTTCCCTGCGACCCTGACATCATTTTGTCCTTTCCCCACGGGGTGTATCTTCCCTTTCGGAATCAATTCTTTCTGGATCTCTATCACTCCGATAGGTGCTTCCTCTTCCTCTGACATATCCACCAGTGGTGGGCTTATTCTTCCTTTTGCCCATTCCATTCTTTCCTCCTGTGTTTCCACGCAGGCGGGAGGCGAGGGGGCACCCGCAAGTAGCTGTGGTGCCCTCTTTATACTCCCTCCTGCGTTTCCATGCTGTTTCGGAGGCGAGGAGGACACCGCCAACTGCGACGGCGCCTCCTTTATACTCCGCAACAGTTCCCTGACTTCCTCCAATTCCTTCTTCATATCATTCAATGATGCCTTTAGGTTGAGATTCTCTGTTTTGAGTTCCTCTATTACATCAAGGTTCTCTCCGCTTTTGTCCTTAGCCATGTAGTTGGCCATCAGGTTGGTGTCCACGGTTATGGCCGCCGCGGCGTCTCGAAGGACCTTGACGTACGTCCCTTTTAAATTCTTGGATTTCACTGAGAAACCCAAGACCTTCATTGATGCCTCCATAACTGAGGCTGAGATATCCCTGAAAGAGGTCTCCTCCATTTCCTCCATTATCCTTTTCACCTCAGCCTTATATTTCCTGTTTGCTGAGCATGTTTGGAATTCATCGACCGGGTTCTCAAGGCCTTTCAAGAGTTTCTCTTCCTTCGCTTTTTCCAGGAGGACTTGATTTCTTGCCATAAATTCTTTCTTCTTCCTGTATTCTCCCGTTGTTTCTGTTCTCCCTCTTCCTCTTGTGGCCTTTTTGAAGAATTCTTCTTCGTCTGTCTCCCCATTTTCTTTCTTAGGGATATCCCACTTCCCTCCCACAGGTTTTTTGTTATCGCCCGTCCACTCATCTCCTGAGCTTTCGTCGGACGTCGACTCATCAGGATCTATTGGCGATCTAGACCTTCCTTCATCGGTCTTCTTCGCCCTTGCGGCATTTCTGGACTTAGCACTTCTAAGTCCTCCTCTCTTTGCCACCTGGTTTCTGCCAGGTTGGCTATTTACAGCAACTTCTGTTGTTGCCCTTCGTCGATGGCGATCAGATGTTGCCATTCCGCTCGTGTCCATGGATGTAGCCAGGGTCGTCGTCTTTTGTTCCATATCTAATGAGTCGTTGTGAGAATTAAAGTCAGTCATTGTGGTTTGTAACCCCTCTACACGGCTCCGGTGCCCGGGCATGCCCGCATCCCCCCGGAAAGGGGGAGCCTCCGAGTTCCCCCAGAGGAGCACCATATGACACGAGCCGACGGAATATACCATCGTCGGCATAGGCCTCCCGCCCCTAACCACCATTTCTGGTGGCCAGACCGCTTTCGGGGGTCCCACACCGATAATGTGGGCACCGTGCAGAGCGCCGCCACGCGGGGGGCCCCATGGAAGGAGGTAGTTCACCGGTGTCGCACCCCACCGGGAACGCCTCCCCCATGGTAGCCAGCGTGCTCGCGCCGCCCGAGGGTCCGCTTTAGGGTGATGCGATCGCATTCCCTCGGGCACAGCACACAGGGGCTCCGGCCCCGCCTCGGAATACGTCCGAGCGGCCCGGAGCACCCCTCCACCCCCCAGGTACCGTGAGGGGTTCCAAACCCTCACGGTGTGCAGACCCGGGTGTGGGTACCTCTCTCCGCCTGACCGTGGCCAGGACAGATGAGGGAGAGGATCATTCCCTTTGGCTGCCGGAGCACCAGCGTGCAATGCCTCCGGGGATGAGTCCTCTAGATAGCGCATGAAGGTGTCTCGACCCCGACCTCGGAATAAGTCCGAGCGGCCCAGGACACCTCTCCACCCCTCGGGTACCATGGGAATAGTCCCATGGTGTGCAGACCCTGGTGTGGGATCCTCCATTCGCCTAGCCGTGGCTGGGACGAATGAGGGAGAGAAGTCCTCCCCTCTTCGGCTGCCGGAGCACCGGCGTGCAATGTCTTGGAGGGTGAGATCTCTTAGGACACGATAGGGCACCCCGACCCCGACCTCGGAAACGTCCGAGCGGCCCGGAGTACCCCTCCGCATCTCAGGCACCATGGGGGGAGGATCCCCATGGGGTGGAGCCCTGGATGCGGGTGCGTCCCTCCACCCCGATCTAACCATAACGGTCCGATCGAGGTGGGAGGAAAGGGTTCTCTCTCTTTGACTGCCGGAATACCGTGCAATGCCTCGGAGAGAGAGGTCCCCTTCCTAGAGCGAGTGCAGAAGAGGCCATTCCTGTCGGCTGCCGGAACACCGGCGTGCAATGCCTTCAGGGATGGTGATCTCCTCCCACCCGCTCTGTGACCATATTGGTCAAGGACCAGGCTGGTCACTCAGCCCGGTCGGGTGCTCTTGGTCTAGTCCCTCCGTACAGACCACTCCGGCATGGTAGAACCTGCCAGGGGCCGAGACCCCCGCCGGCACAGCTCTGTACATCATTGGGACCTTCAAGCCTCCCCACCACATCAAGGTGGCACCCACGGAGAGGATAAGCTGCTAAAACCTGGCGAAACCGTTCATACTGAACGCTACCGACAACAAATGATCGATTTGAATCAAGCTTTGTGTGAAAAACAACCAGAATATCGAAGAAGGCAACATAAAGTGATTTTGCTTCATGATAATGTACCAACACACACAGCAAAACTGGTCAAGGAAACGATTGAGGCGTTTAGTTGGGAAATACTTTCGCATGCGGCTTACTCACTCACCAGACTTGGCTCTGTCCGATTATTACTTATTTGCATCGATGGGACATGCACTTGCTGGGCAGCGCTTCACTTCTTACGAAAATGTACGAAATGGCTCGATGACTGGTTTGCCTCAAAAGAGCAAGTTTTTTTGCCGTGGCATCCACAAATTGTCAGACAGGTGGGAAAAATGCTAGCGATGGGCAATACTTTGAATAAAATATTTTTTATCATTTTCATACAATAAACGTGTATTTTCTATACAAAAATTCCGGTTTCATATTTACATACGTGGTATTATCGTAGCGCCTGCGAATGTCACCATTGTAATTTTTTTTCCTTTGCTTTGTATTTTCTTTGCACACGTTTTCTCTTTATTTTATTTTCTGCTATACATATTGGTTTTTAATTACATATTGGTTAAATAAACGGGCCACGAAAGGGGCTCGGGACCGTTACCTGGCAAACAGACCTGAGAACGAATTCTTCCCGCTCATTCTGCTTCGTTACCCACACCGTCGCACGTCGGCCGACTGAAATCGGCCGACTGAAATCGGTGGCGAGCGATCGGAAACTATTAGAGAGGCCGATCACTCGAACTGGGAGACGCGCGTGCGGTGTTCAGGAGACGGAACACGCAGCGAACGGAAAAGAAAGGCACGCGCATTAGCGGAACCGTTACATAGTTAGTGCCACATGCGAGAAGTTCTGGAAAGAATCTTGTAGACCCTGCCGGGGATTCAAATCTGGGACCGCTGTCTCTTGAGTCAAGCATCTTATAAGCTACACTACTGTTATACCCTGATGGAAACTAGTTACATTGTATACTCTCTGTATACAGATACAGAGAGTATCGATGACACACGAGAAAAATCTTGGAAAATTCTATGTCCTATGAAACTCGAACCTCTGAAACCCTTGCTCTTAAGTTGCGTGAGCTTGTGCGAGCATGTTCGAGCAGGCGACGATAATTTCGAAGACAAAAACTACTTAACGATTAGTGAAAGACGATACCTCCGGTCTATATCTACCCGAATATTTTTACCTGTGACGGCCCCTCGAACTCGAAATGTTTACGATGGGATTTGTTACCTCGAACTAGAAAATTACAGGGAAGAGAAGAGAGGTAAAGAGAAAAGAATGCACAATATTTTTCATAGAATTATTGGGTGTACAAATTATTAGGTTGTTCGGAAAGTTCGTTTCAAATTTTTGAAATAAATTAAGAGCGCAATATTTTACACAAAGAGGAACTTACACTAAGAGGAACTTTATTGAAGCAAATATGTACCGTTTTGTTCAACGACCTTGGCCCATCTTTCAGGAAGCTGCATGATGCCTTTGCTCCAAAATAAAGGTTTCTTATTGGCGAAGAATTTATCAAAATGACTTTTGAGGACTTTCAAAGACTCGAATTTCTTGTCCCGAAGAAAATTTTTTAAAGAAAGAAATAGATAGTAGTCAGATGGGGCAAGGTCGGGAGAATATGGAGGATAAGGAAGAATGTCCCATTCGAAGTCTAACAGCTTCCTACGGATAGACATTGCGACGTGAGGTCTGGCGTTATCATGATGGAAAACAATTTCACGCCTGTTGGCCAATTCAGGGCGCTTCCGTGCGATGGCAGTCTTCAGTTCGTCCAGTTGAAGGCTGTACTTTGCCGCGTTGATGGTTTCGTTTGGTTGAAAAAGCTCATAATATACCACGCCTTTAAAATCCCATCAGATACTCAGAAGAACCTTTTTCGCGTGAAGCCCCGGCTTGGCCACTGTTTGCGTAGACGCGTCGCTGGTTCCGCACGACCTCTTGCGGTTAACATAATTGTATAGGATCCAACTTTCATCGCCTGTTATGATCCTCTTCAAGAACGGTTCTTTTTCGTGCCGTTGAAGCAGCATATCGCAGACGTTCACACGTTCCAGCAACTGCCGTTCATTCATTTCGTGTGGTACCCACACATCCAGTCGACTTGAGAATCCTAGCTTCTTCAGATGGTCATGCACGGTGGAAACAGACATGTGCAGAGTGTCGGCGAGTTCTCTAACTGTCACTCGAGGATTTTCGTGCACGAGATCCATAAGAAACGTTTCATCAACCTCCTGAGGCCGGCCTGAGCGAGCTTGATCTTCCATGTTGAAATCGCTAGCTTCGAATCTTCGATACCATTTTTGAACTGTCTGGTGAGTGACGCAGGCATCTCCATATACTGAGAACATCTCATTCAGGGTCTGCGAAGCCGTGAAGCCACGTTTAAAACAATATAGTATCACATGACGAAAATGGGCTTTTTGGTTCTCCATTTTTCAAACTGATTTCTGACGAAATAGTTGCACTTAGGAAGATCTGCGAAGTTTCCTTAGCAGGCTCATAGATCCGGGAATGTTTGTTGACAAACATAAAATCGTTTAGAGCGCCCTCGTTCTTACTGATTACATAGAAATGTGGAGCGCGCGAAATTTGAAACGAACTTTCCGAACAACCTAATAGATCGGTCCGTTTTCAAAAGATGGCTTCGGCTGTTATGAATGGTTCATAGTGACTGCCGATTTTGGTGGTTTCAGAGAGGTTAGACATCTGCCAATAATATTCAGTTTATATCGCTTTGAGTTTCATACAAAAACCTTGCTTTTTATAGTGTTGAAAATGTCGAATTTTGTGTTAACCAAGCAGCATTTGCGGGAGGTTTTAATTTTCTGCTTTAATTAGAAGAAAAGTGCAGCTGAAGCCCATCGAATGCTTGTTGAAGTTTATGGTGACGCTGCTCCAACTGATAAATCATGTAGGGAATTGTTTCAAGGATGGAGATTTCAGCGTCGAAGACAAGCCTCGCTCTGGACAGCCAAAAAAATTTGAGGACAAAGAATTAGAGGCATTACTCGAAGAAGAACAGAGTCAAACGCAAGAGGAGCTTGCAGAATCATTGGGAGTGACTCAACAAGCCATTTCCGTACGATTGAGAGATGGGAATTATTCAAAAACAAGGAAATTGGGTGCCTTATGGACTGAAACCGAGAGACGCTCGGTCTCATGTCGCAGAAGTCGTAAAAAAATATTTGGAAACGTTCAAATGGGATGTTTTACCGCACTCGCCGTATTCTCCGGACATTGTTCCTTCTGATTACTGGTTGTTCCGAAGGATGCAGCACAATTTGGCAGGTCACCGATTCACTTCTTTCGCAGGTATCGAAAATTGGCTCCGAACTTGGATCGCCTCAAAAAACGAGCTATTTTTTCGAGATGGAATTCGAAAATTGCCTGAGAAATGGAAGAAAGTAGTAGCCAGCGATGGAAAATACTTTAATTGATCTGTTTATTCATTTTGTTTTGAAATAAATACATCTTTTAACACAAAAAAGCGAACCGAACTAATTTGTACTCCCAATAATTCACATTTTATTTTTCATGATTAAGATGATGTGTTTATTATAATTACTCGTACAATTTTAGTTAAATAATTCGAAGTAATTTTTTGGGATACAATGG